GGCTCTGGCTGCTGCTCAGCTGAGGAAGCGGTACGTATTCTCGCCATCTGCGAGAGAATAAGAGTAGAAGAGTTCAATCAGCATTGAGAAAGCAAAATCGCATGACAGAGAAGAAAAGAAGTGAAACTTGTTCCTAAACTTCATAGCCTCTGGAAGATAAGCACAGACGTCTCCGTACTGATCCTCCAGACTCAAGCCAATACCCACACAATACCTATTCCCTCAAGCCAAAGTTAGACACAATACTTACCTCGCTCCGAAGGCCACTTAATTCTCAATCACAGCTTTTCCTTTGGAATTCACCTCCAAACCACTCGTATCTAGTCAAAATGACTCAATAATATCAATATTGCTAAAGGAATCAATTATATTTCATAAATTAAATTTTCCAAATTTTCCTCTAAAAAGTCAAAAAATCGACCCCGGGCCCGCTTGGTCAAAACCCAAGGTTCGGACCAAAATCCTTTTACCCATTCACCCCCGAGCCCGAATATGTAATTAGTTTTGGATTTCGACCTCAAATTGGGGTCTAAATCCTCAAATTTCTGAAATCCCTAGTTTCTACCCTAACCCCTAATTCTACCATGAAAACTCTAGATTTTAGGTTGATAATTCATAAAATGTAATGAATAATTGAAAGAAAATGGTTTAGAATCACTTACCAAAAATTTGGGAAAGAAATGGCTCTTGAAAAATCGCCTCTCACCATTTGGTTTTTGAGAAAAATAAATTTTTGGCTAAAATCACGTTTTGGATTCTGTTAAGTGCTGGGCGACAGTGTTCATCGCGTTCGCGAGAGCACTGTCGCATTCGCGAAGGGTACCGGCTGCCAAGCCTTCGCGTTCGCGAGGCATAGCTTGCGTTCGCGATGATTACTCCCCCCTGGCCTTCGCGTTCGCGAGGCATGGCTTGCGTTCGCGATGAAGGAACGACCAACCCCTCCCCAGGTCCCCACATGCTTCGCGTTCGCGTTGAACCGGTCGCGTTCGCGACCTGACCTTCGCATTTGCGAAGAAGAAAATTTCAGCTACCCAGTTTACTCTTCGCGTTCGCGAGAGTGCCTTCGCGAACGCGAAGAAGGACATGCCAGAACACAGACTCGACAGAAAAACCAGATTTTCAAAGTCCAAAATATCCCGTGGCCTATTCGAAAATCACCCGAGCCCTCGGGGCTCCAAACCAAACATGCACACAAGTCTAAAACCATCATACGAACTTGCTCGCGCGATCAAATCGCTAAAATAACACCTACAACTACGAATTTAGCACCAAATCGAATGAAATTCTCAAGAACACTTAAAAATTACTATTTTCTCAACCGAAGGTCCGAATCACGTCAAATTAACTCCGTTTCTCACCAAATTTCTCAGACAGGTCTTAAATATCATAATGAACCTGTATCGGGCTCCGAAACTAAAATACGGACACGGTACTAACAATGTCAAACATCAATCAATTCTTAAAAATAATTAATTTTCAGACTTTTAATTTTCATCAAAATTTCATAACTTGAGTTAGGGACCTCCGAATTCGATTGCGGGCATACGCCCAGGTCCCATAATTCGATACAGACCCACCGGGACCGTCTAAACACGGATCTGGGCCTATTTACCAAAAATATTGACCGAAGTCAGCTAAAATTAACTTTTAAGGCAAAAATTCTTATTTTCATTAGTTTTCAACATAAAAGCTTTTCGGAAACCTGCCCGGGCTGCGCACACAAATCGAGGAGGGTAAAAATGAGATTTTTAAGGCTTAAGAGCGCAGATTCGAGTTCTAAAACATAAGTTGACCTTTTGAGTCATCACAGATGTTGATGAGTTAATCGATCTCGCCTGGGAGCTCTGATACCATGTTGAAGAGCTCAGCCATGACAGAAGAGAGAAAAGAGTCGGTGGAGAAAAAATTCCATTTCTGTGTATTAAAAATGCCAACTATATTGGAAGAGTACTATGCACGTCTAACTACTTACACTATTTATAACAACCAATCAACTAACTAACTAACTGAACTAACACTAAAAATTACAGTGTATTAATTTAACTACTGGACCCCACATCTATTCTTTCTACAGTACCAATTGAACAGAACTGTATGATCAATTCTTTTCACAATATTAACTCTCTCTTTCTTTAATTATTTTGCTATCTTCCCTTAGTAGTCAATTACTCGTACAAGATAAATATAATTGTGCGTACATGAAAATAAATATTTCTGACTGAGGTATAACTGTATAAGTTTACATAGTGCACTCCGTAATTAATAAATTTACATAGAAAGCAGGTGATCATCATTTAATTTGCCTTTAAGTTGAAGGAACTTCTTAGGTGAGTAGAGTCTGAATAATTGAAAGGCAGAAAGTGAGGAGACCACAACCAATAGAAGGATAGCAGCATAGCCACATAATAAAGCACCTCCAATTTGGATACAGAACCTTGTGAATCTATTGCAAAGTTTCATCCATTGCAAACTTCTCACTCCAGCCAATGCTATTGCTGATGCTTCAACTGCTGCTGATTGTGCTGCAAATACTGTGTACACAGCTGCCTGGAGAAAATATATAGACATACCAAATTAGGAAAATACTACTTTAACTTTTTTACACTGGACAATGGGTTCGAATCGTGAAAGTAGCCATTAGTACTTGCATTAGGGTAGAATATCTACATCACACCTTTCGATGTGCGGTCCTTCCCCCGGCCGTGAGTGAATGAGAAATACTTTTTGCACCCGATTGTCTTTTTGATCAGGTCGTTTAAGGATTAACTATATGTAACCGTCTATAGATAGCGGGAAGTAATTTGAAAAAAACCTACTATTAGAAGTTAAAATACATAGATATTGTAAATATTTTTTACACTGATAATAACTTAAGGGTTGTTTCGCTGCAGGATTGAGAAAATCATCTTCGCATATAATCTTGCATAGTTTAATATTATGTTTGGTTAGAGGAATTAGAAAAATAATCCAATGCAATTAATTCATGTGGCGTTTGGTTTGTTGTAAGAAAAAAAATTTCCAAATGTAATTATATGTAGTGTTTGGCATTAAGCGGAAAATCTATGTTTTATTTTATACATGACAGAATTTAAAATATAAAATACGTGTTTTAGTAGTACGGGGATTATTGTGACCTGTCAAATGTCAAAAGAAAATTGAAGAGCAAACTGCTTTTTTGGCTTAAGGAATTGACAGGCCCTTCAACCTCTAGTAAACCGACACATTAGCATAGTTTTTTAGTTAATCGTCCTTCAATTCGTTCTAATTAATTTGTGGTCTCATTGAATATGACTTGTCTAATATTTGTTGAGGAATCATGTGCCATTGTATTAATCTTTTTTTTTGTTATTAATAAAATCAATAGAAAAAGAAACATCCTTTGAGAAGAATAAAGTGTGTAGTATTAATTATAAAACTGATTGTACTTTTCCACCAAGCAAAAGTGGATAATTTTTCAAGACAATAGGAAAAAAAATTGGAGAACCATTTTAGGACATATAACATTTTCCAGCTCCTGGTAACTCATTTTCAATAATTTTTGTAACTTAAAGAATATTTCTTGTTAAGCATGATTTAGCATATAAGCACTTGTGACTTTGTCTCTCTGTTAAATGTTTCGTTTAATTAACTCTTTAATAATGATAAATTGAAATAAAAAGTAACAAATGTTTCTTGTTTTTTTAGAACATCAAAAACCCAACAGTGAAGCACGAGACAAAGAAGAAAAAAAGAAGAAATTAGTTGCTCTAGGTTACAGCATTAAATAACATTAATATCTCAACTATTTTAGCTTTTAAAGCAGCAACGTGGAACATGCTTATCAACGAACTAAATCACCTAACTAGTTCCAACTCTCATTTTCCTTTATGTTTTCAGCGATCTGTTGTTAAGATTAAACAGATCAGGGTGTGCTATTCACTATTCAGTAGAATAAATTAACTTTTTTTTTAAAATTGACATTCTATTTTGTTTGAAATGAAGGGGAACTCTAGAGCAACTGTAAAGTTGTCTCCGTGTGACTTATAGGTCACGAGTTCAAGCAGTCACTAATTCTTGCATTAGGTATGATGACTACATTATACCCCTGGGGTGACCATTCCCCGAACGTTGCGTGAACGCTGAATACCTTATGCAACAGCTGCCTTTTTTTATTTTGTTTGAAATGAAAAATATTTCAATAACCCCATTTTGTAAATCTCTCCTTTTTCTGTTTAATAATATTACAGGGAGGAAGAGCAAACTAAGATAAAGAAATAAAACTAACTAAGAAAAAAGGAACATTATTTTGAAGAAAATCTGGTTTCTAGAGAGTTACCTGGTCTAAGAAGAAAAACAGCCAATAGTTCTTGTAAGACATTTGTTTAATATCTCCCTTCGAAGTAGTTGGAATGAGGAAACATCTTAACACTTGGAGTACATTATAACTGGCAACTGCAGCATCAATCCACACCAAAACACTACATATAAAACAAAAAATTGATTTTAGTTACAATATAATTAACATATACTAGGTGTAGGAAAGAGCAAAAAGAAAACAAGAAAAGTTGATGTAGTATAATGCCTCAGAATATAAACTACACCCTATTCAATCTATATGACATATTTTCATTTTTAGTTTATTCCAAAAACAATGACACACCATTAAATTTAAAAATAATTAACTTTACACTTCTCATTTCACCCTTATAAAGAAATTTGTTTCAAATATTATGGCATATTTAAGGTCACAGCTTTTAAAACTTTGTACCTACATGTTATGGCATGTGTAAGACTACAGTATATTTCAAAATCTTCACTACTTTCTAAAACTCTGTGTCAATTCCAACTATATCCAATGGCGAAACCAAAAAATTTTCCAAATATCTTTAGAATTGAAAGAAGTAAAAAATAATTCCAATAAAAGATGTTCAATATATGATATATACATCTAAAATTAATTTTTACTTATATATATAATATAATTTTTTATAATATTTGGACGAAGGGTAATCAATACACCAATCCTTAGCAAAATGCCGGTGGCTTCACCCCCGACCATGCCACATACTCTATTACGTATTGATGTCCATATTAATTTAATGCAAATATCTGTAGGTTGAGTTAATAAACAATATACTCTGTATATAAGATACATATGCTGCACATAACCTTTTGAGGAAAAAATAAGGTTGAGCTAGAGCAACAATATACTTAAGTAAATGTTTTTCTTTAATATAAAAATAGTCAGTTCGATGCACAAAGCATATCTCACGTTCATATAAGCCCAGGAGAAGGGCTGCATCCAAAAGATATGATGTAGATATGTTACCCTAATGCAAGTACTAATGGTTGCTTTCACGGCTCGAACCCGTGACCTATAGGTCCCACAGAAATAATTTTACCGTTTCCTTCGGCGGCAACGTAAATGTAACATTTTTTAAAAGATGTAAAAAATTTCAAGTAACAAAAGAGAAGTACAAATGGAGGCGAAAGAAAAATAGAAACTCACAACAAGGCATTCAGATCTTTGAAGCTGGCTTTTCTTTCGACTGTATCAAAGAGGAGTTTAGTTTGAGAATCAAATCCCATCAAACAAGCAGTCAAAACCAAGAATAAAATTGCAAATAGCCTCAAGAAACCCTCTTTTCTTACAATATCCATATTATGATCCTTTTCACTGTTGTTCTGTAGCTGTCTTCCTCTGCTTCGTCTTTGGTTCTCAGATCGTTGTGAATTAATTGAATGAAAAAAATAATGGCAAAGGCAACATGCATTTATAAAACTTATTTTGCATCTTCCTGTAATTTTCAAAATCATTAATGTTTTGATTTTGTTAGTTGTGGCTGTAGGTGGGGAGGGAGAAGAAAAGTTCAGCTTTGTAAATGGTACACGTGAAGAGGGGACCTTATGTGATAATGCAATTTCAAAGGGTTCATGCATTATTCCTAAATGTGAGTATGTTATATATCATAGAGAATATGGAGAACTACCGCAATTTAATTATATCTTGTATATTGTGGGTACTCACGACATTTTTTTTTAATTAAGTAGAATTTTTTGAGCAACGATAAACAGTGGCGGAGCCAGAAATTTCATTGAGGTATGTCAAAATATATAAAAGTAAACATACCAGAAAATTAAGGGGAGTCAATACATAGTAGTATAACTACATATAAAAAAATTACCTACCTACACAATATATTGTTTTTGCGAAAGGGTGTCATTTGACATCCCATCTTGTAAGGTGGCTCCGCCACTGAGATAAAGTTATTCGTGTGACCTATAGGTAAGGGGTTCGAGTCCAGAGACGGACCTATGTTGCGGTCCTATAAGTTATGGATTCAAGCGTAGAGACAGACCTACATTGTGGACCTATAGGTCACGGATTCGAGAATCGAGCCGTGGAAGTAGTCATTAATATTTGTTGTCACGACCCAAACCGATGGGCCGCGACGGACACCCGATACCTTACTCAACCGAGTACCAACGTAACGTATCTTTCTTATTACATCATCATATACATGTGACATACGGGCCTAATAGGCCAACATGATCATTTATAAACTCAAAACATAGGCCGACAAGGCCGTACAATCTTTCACGTACACGACATATGTCTACAAGCCTCCAAGAGTACATAAATGTCATAAAGGTCAGGTCAGGGCCTTGCCATACTAATCAGTACATGTCCTAATCATACTGACCACATAAGCAACTCCGGAGCAAATGGAGCGCACCAACACCTTCCGCTGAGCTGATAGCCTACTTGGAGGACTCTCGGCCTCTCTATCAGGACCTGCGGGCATGAAACGCAGCGTCCCCAGGCAAAATGGACGTCACTACGAATAATGTACCGAGTATGTAAGGCACATAAATAAGTACATAGTAGACATGGAAGAAATATATAGTAAATGACTCAACCTGTAAGTCTGGATAACTCTGTAAATCATGAAATAATTATAGTGTCATGCATATGCGTATGAGTGCCATGTCGTGCATAGGTACATGTTTCATAACATCATCAGGCCTCTGAGGGCATCCCATCATATCATCTCGGCCACTGTGGGCAAAATCATTAACGTATACCAGCTGATCAGGTGGTGGTGCGTATATAACGCTGTCACCTTTTCCCATATCCCATATCCATATAATATACATATATACGCAAATATAACGTCATCTGGTCATGGGTCAATGTACATGTATAAATGCATGAAATGCATAAGAAATACGTTAATAAAATTTTCTCGGAATGCCATAAAAATCAATATACCTTTCGGCTAAACTTTATCAAATAATTATTTTTCTGAGACCCATGAACAGAAGATATAATAATAATTCACATGGGGAATCAAAAATATAGACACCCCTGTATTTCTATGAATAGAGTCATTTATAAAAGTTACTTATTTTGCTCGTTTCATTTGTATTATTTGGATCATGTCAAAAAGAAAGAAGGGATAGCCTTAACATACCCGGAGTAGGAAAAAATCCATATGATATTCTTAGAAAATGTTGCATCGTACTCCTTTAGAATCGCAAAATCTCACATTGCTAAAGTGCTAAGAAATCTAGTTGGAATTCTTCTATTTCAAGAAATCTTGTTGAGATTTTGTTGGATTGGGGTCACGTCTGTTTTTGAATATTTGTAGTATGGAGAAGATTATAAGATTGTTGATTATGTTAAGACCAAGTGAAGACCACAATGCCAAACTTTTAATGTCTTAGTAGTCTTTACGTAAGTGTCATTTGTATGACACCTTGGATGGCCACCTTTCATTTTATATCACGAGTCATTTAATTTGAATGGGGGGCTTCCACCTCATGCCCTTTAATCTTTATCCAACATAATTCCTTAATTAATTGGGTAATATCCCATTATCCAATAATTAATCAATCACCCACATAATTAAGAATTATCTCAAATTACTTAAAATACTCTTCACTTTTAACATACCTTGTACATCTTACTATCATGGTCATGTAGTACCTTGTATGTCACTAGTCCATAAATATCGGGTATTATAGCTTGATCCGTATTTTATCCCAAATTGCCAAGTTTCGATGAAACTCATTTTCTTTGATTTGCTTACCCTCTCACCTTCACGAATTTACTTATCCCTTATTTGAAATAGAATAATGCTTATAACCTCAAAATAATCTCATTCCCGGGCTTACGTTGATTAACTTACGACAAAACTTCAACGTACGAAAATGCAAGACGTAACATCTCATTTTCGATCTTATATCAATTTACTTATGGCATACTTTCACGTATGAAAACATGGGGTGTAACATCATTCCCCTATTTGGAACATTCGTCCTCGAATTTTGACGGATGCACTTATCATTCTCATAACCCATAGCTCTTGCGGATAGTTTAGTACTCCTCTTGCTATCTAGGCGATTGTTCTGTGAATGAATCCTAAAAGGCCAGGGCATCCCCCCTTTAAGCCTCTTTCTCACACCACGACTTGTAGTCGGAATCCTTCTAATCTCGTAACTGTTGCTACCTTCTATCATGCAACCTTTACGATTCTAACTTTGTATGTGCGCCTATGCGACACTTCTCTTCTCTTTCCTCCAGTTTTTAGCCAATCTCTAGACTTCACTTTGTGAGCATATATAAAATTATGTCAAGCTGTCCCTCTGGGCGTCATTAGCTTTAAGCCATACTATATCATAATTCTTACTTTGATTTATCGTTGTGGAGGTTTGCTACCAAATTCCAGCTTACTCTTGTTGCTTATCCTATATGTATAAATCTAAGTCCTTTAATGCTTCCTCATTACTGTTCATCTTAAGAATGACGACCTAATCTCAGCTTATACTTTGTGACTTTTGTCCATCCATTATGATTTGCCTTAATATTGATCTACAATATACCACTGATAATTTGAAACTTCTTACGTAAAACCTTGCCACTAGGGCTTACGTTGCATCGAGGAATATTTGAAGTGATTTCCGTAATCGTATTTCATATTATCTCGATGTGATTCGCATTATGGGGGTATTCTGATCTCGTGTCGTTCGCGAAATCTTTTCTCCTTCTCCCTTTTTTCTTTCTTCAAATCATTATTCAGTCGAAGGCCCAACTGTTATCTTTTATCTGTCACAATTACACCTTCATTTCACTACCAAGGCAGCATTCCATCTCTTTTAAATGCTACTAGTCTTAGACTCCTTTGAGTTCATTCAGGCTATACTGAGCCTTCTATAACTTAGAGAACCCATCGACTCTCATGCTTTCATGGGCTTAATCCCGAGAACTGACCCATTCTTGTCACCTTCTTACTCTCCCTTTCTCATCCTTACTCCTGTCATAAAACCTTGTCGCTTTACTATACTTTAGCTTGCGACCTCTACGTATCTATTTATACTATTCACAACCTTCCTTCAACTTGCTTGCACCATTGATTCCCTTATGTTATTCTGTAATATTAGGTGAGACATCACATCGTCTCTAACTCTTCTTTACTTTCTTGACTAGATCTCTCGGTACTTAGAAACCATAGACTGGAAGGTACGCCACTGACGACGCTGCTATCGTTCTTGGATATTGAATCCCAGCGCTTCTAGCCTTCTATCCGAAGCATGGACTATTCACGATCTTCTACCTTTGAGTATCTTGTACGTTGTTCACCTTTACCTTTCTTACCTTAAAATCTCGCATCGTATCTTCCATCTCTTTCATGACCTCCCTTCCACATAGGTATAATTCACGTCCATAACTTGAAGCTCTATTATAATATTTGCACCTCTGGTGCATATACAATCCGGTGGGAGTTTCGTACTGACTTCTTATGAGGCTGGTACTTTTCTAACCGGCTTTATCGTAGGACCGTTATAGAATATGGTTGTTGCACTATCCCTCTGGTACCTCTGATATTAAGAGTGATCCTGTAATATTCTCAATCACGATTTCTATAATTTTCTGGGTCCAATAATAAGATTCTTGATTTACTTCGTTGATATAACCTTTTAGTTTCCTCCTTCTTCTGATCAGCCTTTATGTAGGCTTAAGCTACCTCCCGATCTTTGGTTTATGGTATTAGTTATTACGTTTAGCCATTCATGGGCACTGAGGAATATCCATGATACAATCCTTTAATAATTCAATTCTTCGTCTATGACCTGGGCTCAATTCTTTCTTTTAACTTATACCGGAATCTTCTACGACTGTATATGCTGCATGTATAAAACTCCAAACTCTCAAGTGTGTTCATAACGTAACTAACTCTGGATCATGAATCGAATAATTCTTTTTGTTCCATCTCAGCTTTCTTCAAACGTGAGCAATTACTTTTCCTGGTCTTTCTGCCTCCCCCTTGTGCGTGCATACTTAGCTTATCTTGATGACCATGCATATTGGAATTCCATACAACTCATATGATCTTGAATATCACTTCTGATTTTACTTCTCGTTCATTAGCCACAGTAGGTGCCATTTTCTTATGGAGTGCATACAATGTTGTTGTGAGACTGTTGTTATAAGACCATTTCCTCCTTAGGTCACCCAACTTAGGTTAAAACTTCCTTCCTTACTTTCTCAGCTAGTCTTTCATTGTAGTATTTAGGGAGGATTCTCTGATTCTTGTAAAGCTGTGAGCTTATTACATTGTATACTTGACGGACCTTTTGATGTCATTATTCGTAGTTACTTACTTCCACCCCCTTGTGCTTGTAGGGTTGCTTATGAACTTGATATTTTGACTGACTTCCCAGTGGCACTCTCTTTTATCTCTGTAACACTCATATGGTACCTTTAACTACCCCAACTCCTATCTAAATATTTCTCAAGGATCACGATATCATATCTGCGAGACTGGATTCACCATATTGTCTTTTACTATGTTTATCTTGCACGATCTACTACCTCGTCTGTAACCCCCTG